CAGCAGAGCTGCACGTTGTCACGGAGGCTGTGCTAGGAACAAGCCGTTCCTGGGGAGGACAAGCAGACACAGCCCCAAAGGGGAACTTCCCAGGATCCCATTACTGGCTCACGCCACACCACGTGTGTGCCATCCCTCCCAAGCGCTGCTTTGAGAGAGGTAGAACTGGGCGCATATTTCAGAAAAGGGGTGGGCATTTTTTACCAGCCAACTTGGATTTCAGCATTGGGAACACAATCAAAAACACCGACTAAAACTTTGCCCAGTCAAAAGCCTCTTCTGTACATCCATTCTCCTTGTTCACTGCAGCTGAAGACGCCCTCTCCCAGCTCTTGGACACGCTCAACTGTAGTGGGGTCTTTCTTTCTGGCTTCCCAGTTCTCCTTAACTGCTGTCTGTGCCCCAGGGAGGCCGGTGACATCCTTCTGTGGCTGCAGTCATGCCGGAGCACCACAACGTGGAGGATTTTAACCGAGCTGGAGATTCACAAAACAGAGTCTACTGCACTATCCCAAACTTTTCTACAACCTACAACCAAGACCACGCTCTCTCAGATCAAGGAAACCTTACGATACACTGGTTGACCTGCTCCTGCAGTGGTTTCTCTGCAATCAATCATGCTGCTGCTGTGGTAACGAGACAAGACCACTCAAACCACCTGAAAGGAAACAACTGAGCATTTGGAGCCCCAAGGTCCTTATCGTGTTCCAGCATGCCTCACCATCAACTTGATCCGGTAGTTCGGGTAACATTTAGCTTTCTACTTCATCCCTAGAAAATGAGCCATCTGCCTCTTGCATGCCAGCACCAGTTAATATTCCACCAGAACTTAAATACGTAAAACTGCTTCCTAACTGCCAAGCCACAGTGTTGTAGCCAGTCCAATAGTAATTTTAACTATTGAACTAACCGCAGGGTTTAAAGATTTTCCTCTCAGAGCAGCTACTAGGAAATGCTGCCAGCAGGATTTTAGTAATGCTGAGTGGGGCTTGAAAATAAAATTGTTTAATGAAATAAAAGTACCTCTGCAGAGCTCTGGCTTTGCTTTGGCGGCATCTAGAGAACAGAGAAATTTGCTATTCCACCTCTCGGAATCCTGCCTCATTAAGTCTGTAATGGACTTGGTAAATATTTCTCCTATCTCTCTACAGATACATTATACACTCTAGTATGTTACAGCAAAATTGGTTTAATCCACTGTTCATGTCAGAGGTGCATTTGGGTTGAAGGTGCTCAGGCCAGAGACAAGACCTGGGGAATAGGTGGCAACTGGGGATGGGCAGGATGGGAACAGAGAGAAGTGAGGGTCTGTGGAGAAAACAGCCTCGGGCACGTGCTGGCAGGAGGAAAGACAAGTCTGGGCAGGGCACAGCATTACTCACAGGTAATGCATCTCCATGGGTACCATCTGCCCAGCGCTAATGTGCCAGGGGCAAACAGCAGGAGAAGGATGGGCTACTTTCCTTTGGGGCATCATGGGGTTGAAAAAGGCATTCATGGGAAACCTCTCCTTTCAGTAGATTTAAGCAGGAAAGGCTATTTCACATTTTCAGACCTAAAGTGCCCCAAGTTCTGAGTTTCTGAGGAGGTCTGAGGTTTTCACCCCATCTCTTCGCACTGGAGACTGTAACTGAAGCATTAGGTTAGGAAATGCCACTAAATTGGTGAAGAGCAACTGGAAATCAACCTGAACTTCAATACTTTGCAGAAGGCCTCCGAGGTCAAATTTCCAGACTCTTCCATTGTTGGCATACTCAAAACAGAAAGGAGTTGTTTCATCTGTGCGAAGGGAACAACAGGCATGGCCACACAGACTGAGGACAAAATGCTCTTGGAAGAGCAAAGCATTTGCTGATAGGCACCATGCCACAGATTACTAAGTAGTACAAACCGCTGTGGTGAGGGGCACCGTGGCACATGGAGAAGTGACAAAAGGTGAAGCCTTTGCTTCAAACCAAAACCAGGAAAATGAAGAAGGTGCAAAAAATCAGACACCAAGTGTTTCCGAGGTCTTGCCTGCTGCCCCTACTGCTGCTGCCTTCTTCATCCCTGGTAATTACACAGGCTTTAATGGAAAGATGACCCAGACACCACACAGCACTGAGAAGGCGGCACAGATTTAGTCTGCAGCTTTATGAAACCTTCTGGTTGCAGCAGGAGCAACAGAGCTCACAACGGAGCTCTGACCAGGGTAACATCTCTTCCCCCTGATTAACCAGACTGAAGGAATTTGAGACTCTTGGCGAGAGCTTGCAGAGTAGGCAGAAGGACCACATGGGCACATACATAGACGTCTTTTCAGAAAGGACAAATGTCATAATTAAACCCCCAAGAATATAGAACGACACTTAACAGGTGAGAAGGAGAAAAACCCTTCACAATGCAAGGGCTAAATTTTGACTCTGCTACCAGCAAGCTCCAGATGCCAAACACCTTGGGGCAGAGAAAAGGGTTTGTGTCCATTTTAATCTACACAACAAACAAATATGTGCTATTTTAAAAAAAAAGAGAAAATAAAGAGCTTCTGTTACCTTACTATTTTCAGGCCACTTTCACTCCCAGCAGTCAAGTCAGCTCTGTTCCAAGACAACTGGGAGAACAATAATTTCTCTTTGAGAGTGAAATTTTGGTAATTGCAAGATATGTTTTCATTTAAAATGTAAATCGTCCAGCATCATCACATGCTTGTACACTGAAAACAATCTCAACAGCATCCCAGCCACTGAGGAGCTATTCCTGATCCTTTGTTTCCTGGACATTCAGATGAAAGATGAAAGTTAATGATGTCCCTTCAGATAAAAGAAAATGCAACTAAATTCAAAGCAGCATGTTCTTTTTTCTTCCCCCTAGCTCTTGCAGTGTGGCACTGGCAAAACCAAAAGGGTCCCTAAAGTTCTTCTTCACAGGTAACTTCATCACCACACATGCAGAAGACTGTTGTATTGACATCAGCTGACAGAGGTAGCAGAAAGGCTTCTAGATCTTGCTTAGACTAACAGAGGCTTTGAGACCTGATGCATAGTTCATAGGCACCAACAGAGACTCAGCTTTGATCCCCTTCAGAACTTCTCTGCATCCTTTGAGGAACCAGCATTTGATTGTAGAGCCAGTGCAGACGGTGCCTGTGGGCTGCTGAACACTCTCCAGCCGTTGACCACCTTGGAAAGCAAAAAAGTCCTTGTTCTTGCAATTCTTCTGACTGCTCCTACAAGATGGGAGCTCTGCCATGTTGGCTGCATTTCTCAAGCCCGCACAGAGCTTTCTGCTGTACGGCACTTCAGGATTTGGCAGTCAAGAAGTGAAGACAAGGGAATATAGTGACACCTCAGCTTCCCACGCCTACAGGATTAAGGATTAAATCAGAAGCATTTCATAAGTCTGGAGTTTATACTTGTGATAGAAGACATATAGTGTTTGTTAATCAAATTTTATGATGTAAACATT